GGGGCTAAGAAACTGAGCTGAAAATCCAGAAAGCCTCTTTCATATCTCTTCTTTGCCACAAAGTCATTACCTTGTGTTGAGCAGGTGGCACAATGGGTTAAACCCTTGTGCCAGCAGGACTGCTGACCAAAAGGTCAGTGGTTCAAATCAAGGGAGCAGGGTGAGCTGTCAGCTTCTCATGTGGGGACATGAGAGAAGCCCCCAAGAGGATGGTAAAACATTCAGGCATCCCCTGGGCAACATCCTAGCAGACAGCCAATGCACTCACCAGAAGCAACTTGCATTTTCTCAAGTAGCTCCTGACACCAAAACAAAAACAAAAAAAAAGAAAAAGTAACTAGGGCTGGGCAACCACGGAAAAATTTGTTTCTAAACTCGATTCGTTTTTTGGGGTTTTTTGCGTTTTGATATTTAAATGAATTCCGAAATTTTTCTTTAAAAAAGTTCGATATTTACGAAATTTCGTAAATTACGAAACAATTACAAAATGAATACGAAACGAATACGAATCGATTCGTTAATGGCGGACGCGACCGCGCAATACGCTAAAAAACCTCCATATGGGACAGGGGGAACTTTTGAAGCTTCCCTCTCCCTCTGTTGTTGACTGTTGGTGTGATATTTATAAATTTTTTTCACTAATTAAACAAACAACAGCTGTAAAACTTGCCCCAGACATGCGGAAATAATAACGAAATGATTTCGAAACGATTTCGAAACGAATACGAAGCAATTACGAAACGAATTGAAAAATTCGTTTCGTTTTTCAGATGCTCCTGAATGGTTCAAAATCGCTTCGTTATCAAAAAAATAACGAATTTTTAACGAATTACGAAATTACGAAACGAAACCGCCCAGCCCTAAAAGTAACCAATACTCCCAGTTTCTACCCCATATTTGTAATATTACTCCTCCTGGTAGTAAATTTGCCTGCCTGTGCCATCAATATTGCAGGTAAAAAAGGCAATGGAGAAATAAATGAGAGAATTGAGTCGCCGTTGTAGGCTGAGATATTGCGGTATATAAGCATACAAAAATAAATAAGAATTAGAGAGTAAGAGAGAAGGATAATGCTTGAAGGAATCCTAAATTTATATAAATATTTATTTAAATGCATTTTTAAAGTAAGGAAGGCAACTTCACAAAGAAGTAACGAGATCAGAGCAGTGATGGCAATCCTGGAATGATGACTTACAATTGCATAAGTAAGAAAATGAAGCAGAAGCAGTTGGATCGTTTTCTCTAGAAAGGAAGGCTGACCAGAGTTCTGAATAAGAATAGCAAGTTTAGTATGGGATGAGAACAACACTGACTCAAACTTATGGAGTTGATGCATTTCTTACAACAAATTAATACATGCTAGCTGTTTTTGTTATTATTGTTATCATTATCATTATTATAAAATAAAAAGATGTCTTCAGTACACAGTAGTCCCCTAGTGTCCACTGAGGTTCCAGGGGACTGCGTGGATATCAAAATCAGTGGAAGCCCAAGTCACATTATATACAACGGAGCAGTGAAGTGGTGTCCCTTATATAAAATGGCAAAATCATGGCTGGCTTTCTGTTTTGTTTTGTTTTTGTTTCTTTTCCCAGCATTTAAGCATAGAGCCAATTGTATAAAGAACTCGGTCTCTTGGCAAGTAGCCTGGGATATTTCAAATGCACAATTATACAAGTTCATATGGAACAGTCAATGTTGTGATGGCTCTTCAATCAAGGAACAGCAAGCCACAGAACTTTGTAGAAAAGTATGCTAAAATAAATAAAACAAATGGGAGGGACATGCCCTCCTCTACCTGCATATAGGAAGATAAACGCTTCCTTTTTCTGAATGTACAGAGCAAGAACAGAAATGACTATAAAGATTTAAAATTCATTTCAGATTTCACATTCAAAACATCCACCCACAGAGATTCTAAATGTTCAAAGTGTTTTCAGAGACATCCAGCTGGAGAACTAACAGACATTCGTTTTAAGTGGATTTTGAATGTTATGGAAAAGTAGATTTTGGTCAAATTAATAAGATTTGAGGCACAATTCCAGCTACTGATGAGTCTCCAAACCTGTCATTTACAGATGCACCATGTGAATTAATGAGCGGCCTGGAAAGACAAAACAGATGGTATTAATTCGAAGGAGAGTGACTATGTACATCTCAGATGAGAGGATATATTTTTAAAAGATTTAAGAACAAATGCTAAAAAAGAATGGCAGAAAGACAAGTTGATAATACTTTCAATTGATCAGGAATTTAAATGAGGTCAAGGAAGGGAGAGAGATGGGTTCTTGCTTCAATTTATCAAGGGGCCATAGCTCAGTGGACAGAAAAAGAGGAATTGTTTTGCCTATGGCAATGGCTGACATTCTGCACAACCAGCTCTATCTTGGCCACTCTATGTATTTCAAGGTGAGCACAGTATGAACAGCTATAGAATGTGATATCCCTAGGAAAAATGTATGCTTCTACAACTTTATTTTTTAAAAAAACTTTAGATTATTTCAAGAATATTATAAGAAATTTTCAGGCTTTATGTTTGTTGCGGAAAATATGAAGACACGTTTTGTTATCTGGAGATCTTAAAATAGCATTTCCAAAAGTCAATTTACAGCATTTCAATTTCCTATAAGTTTATTAGTCTTTCTCGGGGTCAATGTTAATTTTCACTTCACTTCTATTACTCACTCATTCTGGATATGAAGAAATGTCAGGCTTGTGGAATGTGCCTTACAATTATTTTTCAAAATGAAATGCCAAATGATAGTACAGGTAATCTTCAGCTCAATAATCAGTCTATCTATCTATCTATCTATCTATCTATCTATCTATCTATCTGTTGTTTGGTGTTTATTTGTTCAGTTGCTTCTGACTCTTCGTGACCGCATGGACCAGCCCACGCCAGAGCTCCCTGTCGGCCGTGGTCACCCCCGGCTCCTTCAAGTCAAGCCAGTCACTTCAAGGATGCCATCTATCCATCTTGCCCTTGGTCGCCCCCCCCCCCCTTCCTTTTTCCTTCCATTTTCCCCATCATCATTATCTTCTCTAAGCTTTCCTGTCTTCTCATTATGTGGCCAAAGTACATCTTTTGTCTCTAATACCCTTCCCTTCAGTGAGCAGTCTGCTTTATTTCCTGGAGTATAGATTGGTTGGATCTTCTGGTGGTCCAAGGCACTCTCAGAATTTTTCTCCAACACCACAGTTCAGAAGCATCTATCTTCCTTCGCTCAGCCTTCCTTATGGTCCAGCTCTCAAATCCATAGGTTACTATAGGGAATAGCATTGTTTTAACTATGCAGACCTTTGTTGCCAGTGTGATGTTTGTACTCTTAACTATTTTATCGAGATTGGACATTGCTCTCCTCCCAAGAAGTAAACTTCTTCTGATTTCCTGGCTGCAATCTGCGTCTGCAATAATCTTCGTGCCTAGCAGTCTGTCACTGCCTCCACGTTTTCTTCCTCTATTTGTCAGTTATCTATCTGTTATATTCACTAATATTTTATCCACTTTTCATCAGTTTCACTATATTAACTGAAAATATGAATATAGATTAGGTTAAACCATCAATAATTTTTTTGCCATTTAATCAAATTTTTCTTAAACCTCAATTCAATGTTGTAATGAAGTGGGAGGATTGTAGCATCGATTTCAGACTAGTTCTTCCTTTGTCAAATCATTGGGTAGGGAATATGAGACAGAGAGATGGATACAATTGATACAATTCCAGCCAGCAACCATAACTTGAAAAGGTTGCAATTCAATAGTTCAGCATGATCTTTAAATGCAACGAAGTATCAGGTTCAATCACTAATAGATAAAAAGATTTCAGTCAGCAGGTGACAAGAAAGGGATCCTGGAGAAATAAGAAAGAGAAGAAGCAATACTGGCCTAAATAGGAATTTTTTAAGGCCAATCTGGTTTAAGAGACATTTCTGTGCCTCTAGTCCTTTCAATCTAAAGGAAGGGACACAATCAGAAGCTGAAAATAGTGGGTTTTTTAAATTAAAAATCACAGCATAAATTATAATTATTTGATAATTTGATAGTATATCATTTGACAGGATACTGCAAAATTATCATGTCTCTGAAGGAATTGTTATGAGAAGGCCATGATAAATTGGCAGGCAAGTTGATCACATTAATGTCACAGAATTATAGAATTGGAAGAGACCACAAGGGCCATCCAGTCCAACCCCCTGCCATGCAACAAAACTGCATAAGAGTTCTGAAGATGTTATTGAAAGAGCGGTCCTCTCAGAAAGACTTGTGATTCAGGTCATTTTGTCATCTTGAAAGCAATGCTTCTTATATGGTATTTCATGGACATTGACAACTTGAGTTAAGTTTAATTCATTTAGTGTCTGAGACAATAACAACAATAATATTAAGTTTAAAACAGTTGTCACACCATGCTAGAAGAACAAAGTTGTGCCAAGGAAGCACAAAGTGAAGAGGCAGAAGCATCATTTTCTTCATACTGTACACATTCCAGCCTCCCTCCTCCTGCTCTCTCTCCCTCTCTCTCTTTATGAAGCCAAACATACCAGGAATAAACACCGCACAAAATCAACTAACCCAAAGTTCCTCAAAACAGACAAGAGCAAAGCAGAAAGCAATCTCTCAAAGTGGACAAAAGCACGAGGCATTGAGGTTGCTCCCTTGAAGCTCTAAAGCACTATACTTGTGCCAGCACTCCCTCTGATGCTACCACTCCCTCTGGCACCAGCTCTTAACTCAAAATGCTGCCTGTATGTCAAAGCAAAACTCGCCCTAGCAATAGCTCTTAACTCAAAACATTCTTAAGTTAGGACGAGCTTAGGTAGAGGTTACACTGTGCAATGTAATTCACAGTTTGGACAGTCATATATAGCAGAAGGTTCTGCAAAGAACATTTTTATCATGTGTCTTTTAGTCCCAAAAAGGCAGAACACTCAAAGAGAAAAGGAGGATATGCTGGCAAGAAATCACATGTAAAAGCCCTTTAGCTTTTCTCTTTTCCTACCTTTGGTAGACTGATAACCAAATGTCCAGTTGTCTGAGATCTTTTAGCAGTACTGCTATCTGGTTTGACTTCTCCAGGAAGTACAAGCTGAAATGGCTATAAAAAAAAGAATATCTCAAACATACTTTTATTTATTTCATATCAAAAGCATTGCATAAATTAGTATAAAATCAATAAAAAGCTAAACCAGGAAATCTCAAACATACTGAAAACAAGCAATGTTACTTGATATGCCTATACTCTTTTCAAACAAGATGACTTTATTTCAGTTATTCTTGTGGACCTATGGAGACATAAAATATGGAACTTGGAAAAATAAGACATTAGTGACCCAGATAGAAAGCACATAGCAACACAAATAGCATGTCTTAAGTCCCAATTGATTTATTCATGTAAATCTCTTTTAGGGTACATATTAATGTCAATTCAAATGCCTGATTTGCAACTTAAACAGTCTTCATGTATACAGTAATTGTGATATGAGTCTGCATACATATGATGTGAGTGATAGGGCCCTACGTGTATGTGCATGCACACCTTTAGTAGACAGTGTGACGTTTCTAAAGAATGTTATCACATAAATTACACTAGCAACTAAATGAGAGTAATTATGTTAGTCTATTTTAGATGGAAAGGATTTTTAAAGTCAACATGAAGGTAAGATTACAAATAGGGCCTCTAATGTTTAGCTTAATACCACAGACATTTTAAAAACCAAGTATGAAGGAAATGTGAGATCTAGAGGGATTAAAACAAATATATTCAATTCTCTCTGTTCAATGTAAATTACAGTTTTGGGGCTAATCATTTTCTCACAAAGGCTTACCTTAATGTTATCTCAAACACGCAAAGACATATGGCTTGTGTAAAGGCCTTTCGACAACTGTTCAAAATCTAATCCCATATAAATGCTTACCATATCTATTTTTATAACACACACACATGCATATATACAGTTCTCATATAAATGCTATATATCCAATATTTAATGAGACAGTGAACCTTCCACAGGCTATGCTAGTTGTCCCACTAATTATGATGTGTGGATAATAATCTGTGAGCAATTTTGTTATATATGTGTGTCTGTGTTGATCCATCCTACTTCATAGTTCTGTATGTTACTTGGCATTGTATTTGAACTTTATTTCAAAATAAAATAAAATCCCATTTGAAAGGAGAACTTAACTTTACATCCCAGAGTAAAAAATGGGTTCCAGTTTTGCAATCATCCCAAAATTGTTTCTGGGCAACAAGAAACAACACAGCTGCACACCAGATACTATGTTTTTAAAGGTGGGTAGATGTGCCCTTTATCAGAGGGGAGGGCAAGGAGAGGCAGACACAACTATGGGAATGACAAACAAATTGCCTTTTTCGCCTGTATAGTTTTTCTCACCACTGTGTCTTTGTAGAAAAGAACTGCATTTCACTTTTACTGATGTCATAAAACATGACAACTAGAGCAATGTAGAAGTGTTTTTAAAACACAAAGGAAACTGAAGAAAGGAAGATGTGGGAATAGTTTCTGTATTCCCATTCCCAATTACCTCCCTCCCTCTTAGCTATTTAGAGGGAGAGAGTCGTTTATGAAAAAGGAGAATAGAATAGTTGTTTTACTGGGAAGACAAGATTTTGTTGGATTATATTTAGACTGTTTTGGATGACAATTTTAATCTGGTCTAGTTCTAATGTATATATTTTAACTATTTTAATTTATAGGGATGTATTTTTATGTGTTTTATATCATGTCTGGCATTGAATTGATGCCTGTTTAGAAGCCGTTCTGAGTCCCTCCTCAGAGCTCAAGAAGGATGGGGTATGTTGTTGTTCATTCGTTCAGTCGTCTCCGACTCTTCGTGACCTCATGGACCAGCCCACGCCAGAGCTCCCTGTCGGCCGTCACCACCCCCAGCTCCTTCAAGGTCAGTCCAGTCACTTCAAGGATGCCATCCATCCATCTTGCCCTTGGTCGGCCCCTCTTCCTTTTACCTTCCACTTTCCCCAGCATAATTTTCTTCTCTAGGCTTTGCTGTCTCCTCATGATGTGGCCAAAGTACTTCAACTTTGTCTCTAGTATCCTTCCCTCCAATGAGCAGTCGGGCTTTATTTCCTGGAGGATGGACTGGTTGGATCTTCTCGCAGTCAAGGCACTCTCAGAACTTTCCTCCAACACCACAGCTCAAAAGCATCGATCTTCCTTCGCTCAGCCTTCCCTAAGGTCCAGCTCTCACATCCGTAGGTTACTACAGGGAATGCCATGGCTTTGACTAGGCGGATCTTTGTTGCCAGTCTGATGTCTCTACTCTTTACTATTTTATCGAGATTGGACATTGCTCTCCTCCCAAGAAGTAAGCGTCTTCTGATTTCCTGGCCACAGTCTGCATCTACAGTAATCTTTGCACCTAGAAATACAAAGTCTGTCACGGCCTCCACGATTTCTCCCTCTCTATATATAAATGCCTTAAATAAATATATATATAAAGCATTCACTGAGCCCAATCCAATAATCCTCTGTGGATTCTTGCCCTTGCAATGAGCATAGAGGAAAAGGAAGATGGGATATTCTACCTTTGCAAATCACTCCTTTGCCCCTGATGCAAGTGTAGTATTTGATCTTGCAGTGAGTGCAGGATGCCAAGTGTATATGGAAATGTTGTATGACAAGATTATATGGACTCAGAGAACAGTTTCATACTTCGTGTTGTGGAGGCAACACGAGACGAAGCAATAGCAGGATGAAAACAAGTTATGTGATAGACAATCAATACTAGGTTAAAACAGAGGTTCTTAAATGATGTGGCACAACCTTAGCCTACAGGGTGCAATATCTGCTCAAGAGTAGGGCACAATAATTTTTTTCTGGCCTCAAATTATTGTAGTAATATGGCAACTTTTTACGTAAAATGGTTTGCAGCATTAAGAAGTACTTCCTCTACCTTACCTTTTCCATTTTCTGTTTGGGCACTCGCAATATTTGCATCTCCAGCAAAGGATCACCGCCTTGTCGGGGCGCTGGAGCTTGAGCACCTCAATGATGTCATGAGCGAAACCGTGAAGGGACACCCAAGACGGGACGGTTGTGGCAGAGAGGTCAGACCAAGCGTGATCCCTGGGGAAGGCAATGGCAAACCACTCCAGTATCCTTGCCAAGAAAACGAAATGGACCAGTACAACCAGAGATATGTCGGTATGCCATTGGAAGATGGGACTCCCAGGTCGGAAGATGGCCAAAATGCTACTGGGGAGGAGCAGAGGATAAGTTCAACTAGCCCCAGATGTGATGATGCAGCTAGCTCAAAGCCGAAAGGAAGGCTAGCGGCCGACGGTACTGGAGGTGAACGACGAATCCGATGCTCTAAAGATC